TTTGCTTTGCTTTGCTTTTATTTGAAATTAGTTCTAAGACTTGTATTTTGTAACCCCTAGGCATATTCTTACTTTGCCTACCAAACTGGGGGGAGGTTGGGAGGGTGTTCCAGACCAGATGATGTGTGAATATGTCATTTTTTCACGCCTGAGAAAAATCATTGTACCTCAAATTACTAAAGTATACTCTTAAAGCAGGATTATAGAGACTATTCCTTGAAAATCGTTATCTAAGTTCAAAATTTTAAGACAGTACATTCTGCCAAACTTTCTTCAGTAGTTTTTTTTTTTTTTTACTTTGGGAAAAAACGTTGCCAGGTTCACTGTGTTTAGTTGTCTAAACCCTTACTACTTTATATTTGCATTTCTCTGGAATCAAAGATGAAAATTTGGCTGCTGCTTTGTACTGTCAGAAAATAACAGATTTCCTTATTTCAACAAGGAGATTCAACACAAACAGGGCTGTAGCTTTTAATGAGGTTGGTGACCTTCAAGGGACCAGTCCAAACATGTTTTGAGTAAGAGCAGATGTTTTTAAGAATATGCAGAGTACAGGGAGCCCTACCCTTAACCTCCTCTCATTGCTGCTGTCTTCTCAAAAGTCATTATGTTACCAAGTTAGGTTCGAGGTGGCAAATGCAGTCCTTCACATTTATCATGCTGCCCATTAGAGGGCAGCAGTACACAGACTCAGGAGCCAGAAAACCAAATACCACTACATTCTGGGGCATGAGTCTTTTTTGAATCTTCTAAACACAGTTAAATATATCATAATTTAACAAAATTAACCCCTAATCTGCCTTTTGGTGTAGAATATCTATACAACTACAGATATTCAACTTTGAACTTTGTTTTAGCATGATTTTTTAAATGCTTGTAATTCTAAATTGAGTATGGATTTGGTTTACAATATTTCTAATTGCTTTTGGGAAGACTGTTAATAACTAATAGCAACATCTTTTTTTACATAAATGGTATATATTTAAAACCTATCGGATACTACTACTATAATTATTAAAATATAAGTAGTTGGTAATGCGATGGAAATCTTAGGATAAAGAGATGGTTTTAGTTATAGAAGCGTGGTACCATGCCATAGAATATGCAGAGAATAAGGGAATAAATATTTTTTGGCCAGACGCAGTGGCTCACACGTGTAATCCCAGCACTTTGGGAAGCTGAGGTGGGCAGATCACCTGAGGTCAGGAGTTTGAGACCAACCTGGCCAACATGGTGAAACCCCATCTCTACTAAAAATAGAAAATTAAGTGGGTGTGGTGACTCATGCCTGTCATCCCAGCTACTTGGAGGCTGAGGGAGGAGAATCTCTTGAACCCAGGAGGTAGAGGTTGCAATGAGCCAAGACTGCACCATTGCACTCTAGCCTGGGCAACAAGAGCGAAACACTGTCTCAAAAAAAAAAAAAAAAAAAGAGAATAAATATTTTTTAAATGAATGTAGACTAAAATTTTAGAAAACAGACTTTAGATTCATTCTGGGGTGGTGTGTGTGTGGGTGTGTGTGTGTGTGTGTTCTAAAAGCTTTACTGTACTAGCTTGTTCAGTACTCATAAGAACCTTATGAAGTAGGTGCTATATTGTTATCTTCCTTACAGATGTGGAAACTAAAACACAGGGGTAAGTGAACTGGCACTGCACCAGATCACACTACTAGTAAGTGGCCAACCTAGGGTTTGAAACTAGGCGTTCTAAAATCAGAGATCATAAAGTAAAAATACATTGTTATACTACCTTTCTTATTGAATTGTCTAACCTTTCTCCCTGAATTGTCATGCCACCTGTCTCTATCATATTTTCTCATATAATTCTGTTTTGGGGCCCTCTATTCTATTCCGTTTGTCCTTTTCACCCTTCACTAATAACAGTTGTTATACTATATTATTAAAGGTTTAAGTAAGTTTTGATATCTGGAAATCTTAACTCTCTCACTTAACTGTTTTTCAGAATTTCCTTGACTGTTTTTGGTCTTTGTATGTCTCTGTAAAGTTCAGGATGAACTTGCCAAATTACAGGGCAAACTTTTTAGATATTTTGACTAGAAGTGATATGTGCATTCTCCTTTTTCTTTTATTGAGACAAGGTCTCACTCTGTAACCCAGGCTGGAGTGTGGTGGTGCAATCACAGCTCATCGCAGCCTCCATCCCCCAGGCTTAAACTCTCTTCCTCCCTCAGTCTCCTGAGTAGCTGGGACTAAAGGCAGGCACCACCATGCCTGGCTAATTTTTTATTTTTTCGTAGAAATGAGGTCTCACTATGTTGCCCAAGCTGGTCTTGAACTCCTGATCTAAAGTGATTCGCCCACTTTGACCTTCCAAAGTGCTAAGATTACATAAGCATAAGACACTGTGCCTGTCCAGTGCATCCTGCTCTTTCTTAGCTTCTGGGCTGGGGCACTTTCAGGCTGCTTGGTGCCAGGGGGCTGCCCGCATCCTGCTCTTTCTAAACCATGCTAAGTCATTTTTGGAACAAGACAGAAAGCTGTTATATAGTGATAGAGAAAAACATATATATATAAACTAGAAAAAATACTGGTGTTACTAAAATTATTTCTACTTTTATATTTCCATGTTTTAAATTTTATTATAATAAATATTTACTTCATGGCAAATGTATTTAAAGTTTTAATTTTTATTATAAAGAAAGCATAAGTAGACACCAAAGTAATGAATATACTTTAAAAAATTCAGATCTCAAGATCTACATGAATTACCTGATCAGCCTGAAAAAAGATATCTACCCAATATGTTTTAGAGAGTTGATATTTATTATTTTTGAGAAGACAAGATATGTGTAAAAGTCAATCCTAAAGAACAGAGAAGAACGGAAATACTACTTTTTGAAAAGGGCAGTTTTAGACACTACAGGCCAGTGTCATTGGTGTTAATTCCAGACAATACAGTTTTTCAACATTTGGTTTAGAAAGAGTGATTACTAAGAGTTGGACTAAGGAGTTACTTACTTATTTTTCCCTGTCTTTGCTAGATGGGAAATACAGAGCATGTATGAGGGCTGCTTTGACAAGAGCAGATTTTAAATCTGATTTCACCTTCTAAGGAGCCTTATATAAGATAAGCCTAAGTATATAACTTAAGACAAAGTTGTTTGTCCTGCATCAGGTAATAAGGAGTAGAGCAAGAACTGAAACCCATGCATTTTGACACTTAAAGCAGTATTATTTCTATTATATTGCTGAGACATGCTAACTATATCATTTGCCTTAGCCCAACCTTTTCTTTTGGGCCATATAACCAAAAAGAATTGTGGGAAGCAACCCTAAAACGTGATGGCAGTTGGCCATTTTTAACTGTCAAGAGGATGTATGGGAAAGTATTGAATTTAATCTACAGCATCAATAACATACGTTCAGTGGGAATAAGGAATTTCCTGGTTGCAAAGGATAAGTGCTAGGATTAGTCAAGAATAATTGTAAAGCAGCCTTCCCTAGAGACTTTTATAAAAGAATGGATTCCATTCTACCTGCAGTCTTTGAGATCTAATCCTGCTTAACTAGATGACTAGATAAAAGTTCATGCCAACCCCAAGAGTCTATAAAAATATTAGCTGACACATTTAATTCAATTCTTGCAATCCTGATGTGTGTTCAACATTGAGTCCCCCTCATTAAGATGCAGTAGGAAGAGATTTAGAGTGACTGCTGTGTGCTAAGCAGTTTCTAGATGCAGTAGGTATACATCTACCATCATGGAGCTTTGTTTACAGAGAAAAGGTTAGACAATAAACAAGTTAAATAAAATGTAAAGTATGTGAGAGAGTGATAAGTGATATAGAAAAAAATATAATGGGGATAAGGAGCGTGTTGGGGGAGAGAGTATAATTTTAGATAAGGCAATCGGTAAAGGTGGCTTTTGAGGTAAGAATGCAAAAAAGGAAGGAGGATGCTGTACAGATTCATAGAGCACAGGCGTTCCAGGCAGAGAGAACAGTAAAGTGCAAAGGCTTTGAGTTAGGAACATGAAGTTTTGTGTGTCTAGATCAGACGAAATGAAAGAAACCATGGTAGGACACATCAGATAGAAAGGCCAAATCTTGTAGGGCCTTGTAAGTTGTTTTAAGAACTTTGGGTTTTACTGTGAGTAAGATGAAGAGCTATTGGAATGAACAGAATGGTTATTCTGATGAATTGACATACTCTTAACTAGATCACGTGATCTACACTGTTGAATGAAGGAGTACAGGCAGAAGCAGGGAGACTGGGAGACTGTTGCAGAGCTGTAGCTGTAACATGAGGTGTTGGCTTGAACCAAAGTGTTGTGAAACTGGCCAGGTTGTAAACATTTTAAAGGTAAAGCCCAGAAGATCTGCAGAGAAATGGACAATTGGGTGTTAGAGAATGGCATTAAAGATAACTCTAAGCTTTTTGCCTAAGTGATTGGAAAAAATAAATGTGCCATATACTGATGTGAGGAAGACTGAAAAAAGCAGGGTTATAGGTGGGTGAAGATTAAGGGCTCCATTGTGGATATAAGTTTAGAATTTTTTTAAAAAATCCAAGTGAAAATACTGTATAGAAAGTTAAACATGTGGGTATGGAGTTTAGGAGAAAGCTTGCTTGAAGAAAAAAGTGTGTGACTTATTGGTGTTTTTATGGTTTAAAGATAGGAGACTGGAAGTGATCACCAAGGAATAAGTATTACTAGAAAAAAGACCCAAGGACTGAGCCCTGAGGTATTCACATTGTTAAGAGATTAGGGAGACGAGAAATAGACAAAGATATAGCAAGAAGACCTAGAAACCAAGTAAAGAAAGTGTTCTTGGAAGAGGAAGACAGTTGCCAGCTGTATCAGATACTGCCAGCAGATCATGTGAGAAGAAGTAAGATTTGGGTACTTCATATTTTATGGCATATATATGAATGTATGTATAACCACTCAGCTCGTGTCCCTGTAAGCTCCCACTCCCTTCCTGGTGACCTGCCATTGTTAACTTTTGAATAATTTTACCTATGTCTGATATTACAGGAGAATCCAAACCCTCATATGGCATTCCAGAAAGTTCCACGCCCAACAGAAGGATCCCACTTGCGAGTTCATATTCTTCCTTTCCCAAAGATTAATGAAGCCCGGGTTCAGGAATTAATACAGGAAAATCTTGCTAAGAACCAGAATGCACCTCCTGCTATGCGAGTAGAAAAGAAATGTGTTGTGCCAGCAGGTCCACCTGTTGGTATGTATTTGTCTGTCTGTTTTAAAAGTAAACCTTTTTTAAAGATATAAGACCAAAAAGAAAAAGTGTGCAATTTGATGAAGTTTCACAAAGTGAACAAACTCCTGTAGCTAGAATCAGAGCATTATCAATACTCAGAAACCCTGTTTTACTTACTACCTCCCACAAAGGCAATCATAACCCAACCGCTGCCACTATAGAATCTTTTGTTTAAATAACAGCTTTATTGAGAGGTAAGTTACATACCGTAGATTCACCAGTGTAAAATGTGCAATTCCATAATTTTTAGTATAGTCACAGACTCTTTGAGCCATTGTCACTATTTAATTTGAGAATATTTTTATAACCTAAATAGAAACCTCAAACCTATTAGCAGTCACTCACCATTTCCTCCCCAAACACCTCCTCCCCAGCTTTTCACAGTAATCTACTTTCTGTCTTCATAGCTTTGCCTATTCCAGACATTTTATATAAATACAATTATACAATATGCAATCTTTTGTGACTGGCTTCTTTCATTTAACATAATATTTCCAAGGTACATCTGTGTTGTCCATGTATCAGTATTTCATTTCTTTTTAAATATCTGAATAATACTCCATTGTTTGGATATGTATCACATTGGTTATTTATCTATCAGTTGATGGATATTTGAGTTGGTTCTACGTTTTGGCTGTTATGAATAATGCTGCTGTGAACACTTATGTGCAAGATTTTGTATAGACATGTTTTCAGTTCTCTTGAGTGTGTACTTAGGATTGGAATTGTTGGGTCATATGGTAATTCTACGTTTAATGTTTTGAGGAGCTGCCAAACCATTTCCCAAAGCAGTCGTGCCATTTTAGATTTCTGCTGGCAGTGTATAAAGGTTCTAATTTCAGCCACTGATACTGAGCATCTTTTCATGTGCTATTGGCCATTTCAGTGTCTCTTTGCCCATTTTGAAATTGGGCTGTCTTTTTAGAAGTGAGTTGTAAGAACTCCTCTCCAGTGAGGGAACAAGGTTGGAGGGAGAACGAGTGTGATGAAATGACAGAATCAGACTTCAGAAAGTGGGTAGTAAGAAACTTCTGTGAACTTAAAGAACATGTTCTAACCAAATGCAAAGAAACTGAAAACCTTGAAAAAAGATTTGACGAAATGCTAACGAGAATGGACAAAATAGAAAGGAATATAAGTGAATTGATGGAGCTGAAAAACACAACACGAGAACTTCACGAAGCATGCACAAG